CAGGCGCCCACCACAACACCTGGCTATTTTGTTGTTGTTGTTGCAGTTGTCATTGTTGCTTTAGCTGGCCTGGGCCGGGTTCAAACCCACCAGCCTCGGTGTATGTGGCTGGCACCGTAACCACTGCGCTATGGATGCCAAGCCGACTTTTACATTTTTATAGTAGCTTTTTGTTATAGTAATACCCCACTACTCAGTACTAATTTCTGTCTTAGTCCATTAAAGCTGCTATAACAAAATACCTTAGACTGGTTAATTTATAAACAACAGAAATGTTCACAGTCCTGGAGGCTGGGCAGTCCAAGATCCAGGAGGCTGGCAGATTCAGTGTGGGATGAGTGCCCGTTCATTGTAAATGGCACCCTCTGCACATCCTCTCATGGTGGAGGGGTGAACAAGCCCCCATGGGCCTTGGGCCTCTTTTATAAGGGCATTAATCCCACTCATGAGGGCCCTACTAAAGGCCCCCCCCCACCTTAATATGATAGCTTTGGGAATTAGGTTTCAAGACATGAATCTTGGGAGGGGACATTTAGAACACAGCACCTCCTCACTCCCATTTCTCCATCACCTCCTTGATGAACAGATTTCTTTAATATTATTACAGTTAAATTTATCAATCTTTTCTTTAATTCTGGTACTTTGTCTTAAGAAATACTGACAGTGGGGTGGCACCTGTAGCTTAGTGGGTAGGGCGCCAACCACATACACTGAGGCTGGCAGGTTCAAACCCAGCCCAGGCCAGCTAAAACAATGAAAACCGCAACAAAAAATAGCCTGGCGTTGTGACGGGTGCCTGAGGGAGGCTGAAACAAGAGAGAATCACTTGAGCCCGAGTTTGAGTTGCTGTGAACTGTGCCACAGCAGTCTACTGAGGGTGACATAGTGAGACTCTGTCTCAAAAAAAGAAAAGAAATATTGAAGGTGAAAAAGATATTCTTCTACATTTTCATCATTTTTGCACCTAATATTTAAGTCTTTCATCCACATGGAGGTGATTTTTTGTATCCATCCACTGTCATTCTTCCCCCATATGGATAACAACTTTTTCCTGCTTCATTTATTGAACAGTGCTTCTGTTCCCACTAATCTAATGTACAACCTCAAAAAGTTCCATGTATACATGTGTCAGTTTCTGAGCTCTCTCTTCTGCTGCACTGGAAAACCTCCACCGAACATACTGTTTAGCATAGCTTTCTAATAACTCTTGATACCTGGTAGGCCAACTTCACCATGTTTATTTGTCTTAGCAATTACTTCAGGCTATGCTTGGCCCTTTGCTCATCTATACAAATTTTAGAATAAGTTTGTCAAGTTAAATGAAAAGGCTTTGGGGATTAAAATTGGAGTTTTATTGAATACAGAGGTCAGTGGTTCACAAAGTGGGACCCAGACCAGCAATTCCGGGGAATCCCTGGGCATTTACAGAGGTTCATGAAGCCAAAACCATTTTCATAATATTACTAAGATATCATTTTCCTTTTTCACACTCTGAGTACAGAGTAGAGTTTTCAAGAGGGTATGTGATAACTATGGATGCTCTGATAGCTAACAGAACGAGTCTATATTCCTATGTTTAAAACATTTCCTACTTTTAATTTGTAATTTTTTTTTTTTTTTTTTT